TCCCAAGAAAAGACAAACACATACACAAGTGTGTAAGTGATGAGATAACTACACTCTAAAAAAATGATTTTTTACAGAACCTAAAAAGTTTCTTAGCCTCAATACACGGTAAGATCCTTTTTTGGTTTTGTAAAAAAACAAGGTTTCGTACCAAACCATATATGGACAACTGAAATAAAGGTTCCGTACCAGAGATTTCATACTAAATCTGTGCAAGAGTCAGAGAAAAAGGTTTCGTACAGATACTTTTCTGCTAAACCTTTATAATAAGTTGAAACGAAAAGTTTCGTACTTTATGATTCGTACTAGATTTGTTGTTAACCGTCCAGCCAGTCGTAAATATAGTTCAAAAGCAAACCTACTGATGACTTTCAGGATTTGATCAATCTATAATAGAATCTATTATAAATTGATTTATATGTGAAAGTCATTTACCAGATTTAATATTAAGCTAAATTTGTGACTAACTTGATGGTTAAAACATGTTCACTTAGAATCAATCTATAATAGAAGAATAAATAAATTTATTTTATTTTATAAAGTTATCCTTACCTTTAATTTCCATATATGAATTAATCTATAATAGAAAAGAAATTTATTTTGTTTGATAAGATCAAACTTACTCTTATTTTTGGTTTTTGAATGAAGCTATAATAAAAGAAACAAACTTATATATTTTTTAATAAGGCCGAGCTTACCCTAAATCTGCATATTTCAACCAATCTATAATAACAAAACAAATAAACTCATTTTTTAAGATCAAAGTCCCCTTTAACTTTCATAAGTGAATTAATCTATAATAAAAAAAAAGAATAAGTTAATTCATTTTGTAAGGTCAAGCTTACCCTTGATTTTCTTATTTGAATAAATCTATGATAGAAAAATAAATAGATTTAGTATACTTTATAAGATCAAGTTTACCCTAATTTTGATATTTGAATCAATCTATAATAGGAAAATTAATCTAAGTTATTTGATGAGCCATTCCATGTAAGTCACGACCGGAGCTGCTCAAACGTGGTCTTTAGGGTTTTGCTCAATCTAAGATATTTAGATAGGGGGTAGAGTGTTATGAACTCTGGAGCAAGCTGTTTTGAAAATTATTGAAATATTGAATTTTTATGACTGTTTTAAACTCCCTTTCAGAATAGAAGGCCAGGGGAGGGTGCCTCTGTTCCACAAGCTATAACTTTCTAACAAAGCTTGTCAAGATGTCAGCTTTTGTGTTATTTGATAGAGAAATGTTTATTCTTTCATTGTTCATCTCTTTTAGTTCATTTGTTATTGAAAAGTGAACCTCGGTTTTCAACAGAGAATTCTAACCAAGGCGTGCTCTTCTATTCTGTGGGGGGAGGAGGAAAGACGGAGGGGTAACGAAAAGTACTAAAAACTGAGTATCGCTGCCAAGGGGGTTCTGATAGAACTATATCTCAAGAAGGGAATGACCGATTGGGCTGAAACTAGTTATGGACATATATCTTCATGAGTTATAACCACCATATATGTTTCAGATCAAAACATACAGTTCTTAGTTCTTTATGACTGATCCAAAATGAGCGAAAACACATATTTTGAGCAATTTAGGTACTTCACAACCGGTGATAGGAATGAGATAGAGGCCTGCAACTTTCATACAAGCTAGAGTATATAGCGATGCTCCTTTTCCTTTCGATCAGCAGAACTCTCTGAAAAAGGGCTTTTGATGAAAATCGTGATTTTCAGATGAGGTTTTCTCCCAAGAAACCAGATTGTTTGAGAGCTGAGCTTAAGAAGCTGAAGCAGTCACCTGAGATGTAGAACTTCATAGCAAAATCAGCCTGGAACATCCAGAAATGGCTTGCAATAAAGATCATTTTTACGGGCTCGAAATCAATATTTGAGCCCGTCTATACATACAAATCTGATGAACGGATCATGCTAGAGGGATATGATTTTGGCTCTACATAGATCTCACTGAGTGCGTATTCAGGTAAAAAACTCAGCTCTCTAAATAATTTCTGTCGCTCAAGAGGTTTTTAACAAAATCAAGACTTTCACCAAAATCGCGATTTTTATGGGGTTGGATTTCTGTAGAAATGGGTCCCGTAGAAGTTCTGCTCATGCCAGCAGTGTCACATATCCAAGATTTTGGAGATGCCACCACGTCTCCCGCGGGAGATGCCGCATCTTGCATGAGAGATGCGGGTGTGGGTGTGGGGGATGCGCATATCTAAAGGAGATCTTACATCTCCAGTGGTGAATTACCATATCTCTCGAGTGTGGGTGTCGTGTCTCCCGCTGGAGACGCGGCATCTCCCACGGGAGATGTGGTGGCATCTCCAAAATCTTGGATATGTGACAGTACTCGCTCCTGCCACTTTCAAGTGTCCACAGAGTACTACAAAATTATACCGGGATCGGCTGGAGTCTTGTAGAATGATCTGCGGACTGTAATTGAAAGATATCCACAAGTGATTCCTTTTCATAGAGAATATACTTGACTTTGCTGACAAATTAATCGGAACAAGACATCATCTCAGATAATTTATATCTCATACAAATCAGCACACGGTCCTGGATTGAATTCCATGAAAAGGTCTCCGTGAAATCAGAAAAAAAAAATTTTCGAAAAATTACCGTACCGGCTTTCAAGTCTTCCGGTGTAAAGGCTTTTTCTGAAATCTCCGTACCCCCGTACAGTAGTTTTTCGAAAATTTTTCTTTTGCGATTTGAGGGTGTGGGTGTGGGTCTTTTATTCACCCACACCTACACCTATATCCTAGCAATCATAGCTTCAGTTATGTGCCCATCAATCTAATCCATGACTTGAATTATACTTTTTAGAGATCAAGCTTACAACATTGATTCCACAGTTTCTGACAATATTAAATTGTTCATATCGCAATAACTGTCAATAACAATATTAAATAAATCAAAAATATTGGTACAATGGAACGACCGTATGTTTATCGACGCTTCATTTACCAACACTACCACTAACACGCTCATTGGCTACTGCTCAAAAATAAAGATTTCCAAGTGCGAACATACTTCTCAACTCAGGCAGCAGTCACTAAATTCATCACAGAGAAGGATGGGTGGGTGTGGGTGTGGGCGTGAGTGTGGCTTTGGGGGAACTGTAAGGGACGTCCACACCCACACCCACCCACACCCATACCCACATCCACACACCCACACATCCACACCCACCCACATCCACCCACACCCACACCCAGAATAACTCACAAGTTTTAATCAGAATGAACGCTTCTTGCAAGTATTCATTTTTGAAGCAGAACAAGTGCTTCGAATTTTCAATAAAATATGAGTTTTTAAAGATTCAATTCTCTTAGCATGAAAACATATATTTGAACTGTATCGTTTACGAAATTTCGGTAACTATGAGACGTATCAACATGCAAGTCTACATATTGAAAAGATTTCACTCGCTTTTCCCAAAAAACTTTAGAATAGAGCGAGAAATCAGTAAAATGACGCTCATTGCTCTGCTGAAAAGGCCTATACTTTGAATTTAAGTTAAGGTTTTACATTAATCTTCAAGAAAAATAAGATGACTATAGTTGTAGTTGGAAACTATTTTTCACTCAACACACTTCACCTCCTCAGCTCAATTTTGATACTATTTTCGCGTTCTATTACTAATAAATGAATGATGTACATTTCCTGTGTTCTTATTTCAGAAGATGGCTTGCTGGATTTGTACCCTTGATGGCTGGTTTAATTTTTTGTCTACTTCTATTTGTGGTTGCAGCTGCAATCATACTTTCCTTGATACCTGTATATCTTAAAAATGCTGGTGATGGCATTACAAATGACTACAGCACAGGTTTGACAACTGTCTCCTTCAGTCAAACAGCAGATGATATTTTGTATTGATTCATCATTGTGAAAGATTTTGAAATAGTGTCACAGAACATGTATAATGAAAAATTTAGTTTTCTACCTGCAACGATTATTAAAAAATGTCATCTATCATCGAGTTACGATAATCGTCGTCTTTCAGTGGAGCATCAGACAGACGAAAGTTTCTCATTTAAGAAAGTGAACACAATTCATCATCCGAATCGACTTTTCCAATTCTCTATCAAGATTTTACATCAATCAAGTTGAGTCTATCCCATATGATCAGCTCATGCCTTCGGCTTTCCTATCAAAAATGGTGATACTGTCTATTCACAATCTCTTGTGTTTGGTAACGACTACCTAGACAGTTATTTAAGGAGTGACACAGTCATGCTTTATTCTCTCGACTGTAGGGAGGGTCATATGAAATAAATTGCGTTTGTCTGTCTGTCTGTGTGTGGCAGGTCAAAAAAACATCGTAGGGGAAGTTTATTTAGGCGTAACTTCTAAAGTTTCAGTAAAGGTAATTGAGGTCCAGGGTTGCCAGGTGATCGCTACAGTCAACATGAGTAATTCGGACAACGACGTAGATACTAGCGACACAGATGGCAACCCTGTTGAGGTCGGAAAATCCGAATGCGAGGTAGGATTTCACATTCAGTCTTTCCATTGGCTAGAAAGCCGATCAATCAGAAATGAGCTTTTTTATTTTAAGGGTTTTCGATGTCTTCATAAAACTTTGCAATAGGTTATCGATATCTATGAATGCAAATTTGAAGTCGTTTTATCGATTTGAGCTTTCATTGGGCAGAAAATGGATCAATCAGAAACGAGCTTTTTTCTCTTAGCGCTAGGAGGGGTTATATGATATAAAATGAGTTTGTGATCTGACAGGTATTGAGAGAGTAACGCATTCAGATGTGTTAGAGTGATTACAGGTTTGATGATCGGAGTAACATCAATTATATATGAAGTTTTTCAAGCTGCCAGTTGAGCCAATTCAATATGTTCGGTGTTCGGCTATAAATCTGTCAAGCTTTATTCGACTCGCAGTAATTTAATGTGTTCCCGTTTCTTTTCTTACGAGCTGATGTGGTCAAGGAGGGTTGATGCGTAATTCGCACATTTTCTGTGTTACTAATGTGCAATCAGTGATTTTGTTAGATGGTGGCGTTTGACCTCAGCTGATGAGTTGCATCAAATCAGCTTTTTTGTAAGTTGTCATATCTAGATGTGGTTCTCGAAATAGATATGCGCCAGAAAAAATATGACGCGTAGAATTGGATTCACGCAAAAACGTATTTAGGGTCCCACAAACATTCGAATCAAAGCCGACAAGTACTTCTGAAACTCAAAGCCTAGTTTTAGTAGATCCAACATTATTGGTATTTAAGTCTACTCTCATTATATTTTATTTTGGCTAATTATTCAATTATTCGCAAATTATTTTCAGGAGTTCTCACTCGTGTAATTTCTATAGTCAGTATATCTCGAAGAAGCTAATATAAAAAGATATTTGTAAATGAGGTCACATCTTTCATGGTAAATATAGAAAAATCAACTATTTGTTTTAATGTATTCAAATAATGGGACGACTAGCCGTGAGTGGCGCTGTGGAGGGACGGTGACGAACCATTAGTCGCTAATATTGCAAGCGCACTCTAGATTCACTTCTGAAAAGATCTATGTGAAACCTAGGTTTATTGAGAATACTGCACTAACATTCTCTTAATCAGGAATTCTAATAAAACTCTGATTTTTCTGCTAGACAATCAGGTTGAAAAAATAAGGAATAGTTGATAACAAAGTGTCGGTTCTGGACTGCCCATCGAGAATTCTCGTTTTATAAATCTAAGGATTTTTCGAAGTAAGAGCAGCCTGGAATTTGATAGGATGTAAATCAAAGAGGATGGTCTTATGCGAGAATATGATTACACATGGCAGCAGCCAGCCGCTGCACTGAAAAATTACCTGGAGGAAGGCGTCAAGGTGTTAGAATTCACCGGGAAAATGGCACCAGTCTAGGTCTGATGGGTTTCAATAAGGACCAGGAGTGACAAAAAAATAAGAACTATTTTCAAGTTAAGTATGAAAACAGTTGTTCTGTACGGACACAATATCTGAATGGTACATTAGACGGAAAGCATCACTCAAAGAATTTATATTCGCTCTATTAGAAGCAAAATTAAATGAAATAAAATGAATTTTTCTGTTGGTATGTGTTCTTGTTGGTTTAGAAACTGTATTGTCTTAACTATATTGTCAACTAGTACAGTATATGTTGGCTTTAGATTGTGGGTAAACGTATGAAAAAGAAGAAAGTGATAGTGGATAGTACGACTTTTTCCAATTTTATCAAAATAGTTCTAAATTAAGTGACTTTTTTGTGGTTACTACAAAGCCTTTTTGCCTATTCATGAATTAAATGCAAAGGATAGGAGTGAATGTGCTACGGAAATCAGTCCTATTTGATGATTATAAGACAGCTCCGCTAATTTGTACATCTTCTCTCTATTATTCGAACAGAAACCGGAGCCATTTTTTGTGCATAATAGCTCTTAGTATGCCTTCAAAAATTGCAAAGACAAGCAGATTGGGAATGCTTTGACAACATCTTTCAAATCTTCAAGACATCGAAGTGATTTGCACCCTGAAACCCTATATGTTTGGTAATGAAATATCATTGTGATTTTATTAAGAAGAGCTGCCCAAGCATTTCAAATCTTCGTATCTTTGTAGCTTTTAAAAGCATACTAAAAACCATCTATGTACAAAGAACGGCACCGGTGTCTTTTGAAATGATGGAGAAAAACGATAAAAATTAGCTGGGATTTCTTATAATTTTCAAATAGGACTGATTTTGCAAGCGCATCTATCATCGCTCTTTCGTATGGATAAATATATGATCTGAGGCAATGTATGCATAGATAGGCGAGGGTCTTAAACTTGGATGTGACAATAAATTGTAATGTATTATTATATTATGAAAAAACCATATTTTTTAACCTTGTATATGTTTTCAGGAGTTCTGACTCGTGAAATTTCTAGCTGCTATAACCCGGAGAAAATAATATAAAAAGATATACAGGGTGTCCCAAAAGTCCAGCATGAAAGTAAATCTGTAGAATTCCACTATTTATCGTACACAATCAACTATTTTTTTTCGGTGATAGGTATCAGTGGGCTGTTGTTATTTGCACGGACGAATTTCACAAATACTATTCAAAGTTATAACTTTTGACTGAAATACAAAAAGCACTCGTTTTTCGATTTCAAAAAGAAGCACTTTCTAATGTTTCGCTTTTAATACTTTAATTTGTAGCTTTTTTTGTGACATTTATATCAGCTACATTTTACGCTCTCGTTTATATGCATTTCTTGTGATATGTTACTGCAAAAAAAAGCCTAATAGTGTCAAGCTCAATGATCACGAAGTCCATAAGGTAGCTTTAACTTTTGGAACGAAGACTGGCGAACTGAAAGAGGTAAACCGAGTTCATGGGCTTCCAGATCATCGAACTTGGCATTATCAGGCTTATTTTGGTAGCGATATGGCACAAGAAGCTCGTCCGTGCAAATAAAAACAGCCCACTGATACCTATCATCGAAAAAAAAAATTAGTTGATTGTGTACGATAAATAGTGGAATTCTACGAATTTACTTTCATGCCGGACTTTTGTGACACCCTGTACGTAAATGAGGTGATATCTTTTATCTAAAATGGGCAATAAACAACGATTGCTTCAGTGCACTAATGTAAAAGAAGCGACTAGTCACTCATATTGCAAGTATACTGCACTAATATGGGTGTGGGCGTGGGTGTGTGGATGAGGGTGCGAGTGTGGGTGGGAGTGGGTGTGGGTGTGCATGTAGAGAAGATTCACATCCACACTCTACATCCACACCCCACATCCACACCTTCACCCTCACCCACACCCTCACCCTCACCCACGCCCACACACCCACACCCACACCCACACCCACATACCCACACCGACACCCACACCCCACACACCCACACATCCACACCCTTCTTTTAGGTATGGTATTTCGATTACAGACCAGATCTAATATGATTTATTTTAAGCTAGGAGTTCAGCTAGGGTCCTTTTTTTTAGCGAACGCTCTAGTAAACAACATTGTCGGCAGATGTGCTAGTTAGCATACGGATTTTTAGTAGAATTTTCAAAAAGAGCATGGCGTGTTTTCACAATAGTGTCGCGAATGCATTTTGCTTCGTGACCTCTCAGAAAATTGAATATAATCTCTCTTTTGGGATGCGTGCGGATACTGCTGCCGTAGTGTAGTTCTTTAGATTTCTGTTCAGTATCAGTGTGGGGGTATCAATTTGATTTGATGAATTTATGACAAAAATGATTACACGGACCTACATACCATTGTGCACAACGAGATTGCCGCCAATATCAACGTGCACACACCTACCCACCCTTTCGAAACGTTGGATATTATATAGCTTTGTTGAAGACTGTAAAGCAGTATATAACACCAAAAGAGCAGAATATTCAGTCGAAGGTCAAGCGAGTCACACGGACGAGTGTTACTTGTAAGATAATATTGATTTTTTTGGCAATCTTAATGAGAATTCACTTAAATTAGAGCAGTACTTATGCATGAACAGGTTCTTGTTTCCGATGTATTTACGACCATTCTGTATAGATTATTTCGATAAGAAATGCGACTTCACTCATCAATCAGGTCTTTTTGTGACTAAACTTGTTTAACATACTTGTTGCTAGATCAAAGACCGGTCAAAGTTTTCATGTCGATAGCTGTTAAACTACTCATTACTCACCTGGTAACATTCGAGAATCAGAAGGACAAAGTGCTGATCTCCAAAAAAGAAACATAGAGAAATATCGCTTATATATGTCGAAGAACTTTATCCATTTTGTCAAAACATAGACCAGTAATGAGTCCAGCTTTTCTTGCATTTTCTATTGAA